TAATTTTGGGATTCAGTTTAAACTGCTATATAAAGCACAACTTTTAAAAATAAATTTCACTGTCTTTAATTTATTGGAACATTTGTCTGCAACAAATTCAAAAGAAGTATTATTAAAAAAACCTTTCATTATTAACATTTGTTATGTGGCTCAATTGAAATGGATATTTCTTAGAAAAAAAAATCTAAAAATAAAATAAAGTTTGGCTTCCTAGTTTTTCTGAAAACAAGGTTTTGTAAAAAAATATTTTTTATATAGCAGACTCGTATTTTAGTTATCGTAAGTATTAACTAAATATTATATAATTATTTGTCATTGTAATGTCACATTGTGTGGTCATCTGGATGTTTATTTATTTTTTTTTTTTTAGATGTTTTGTACTTCATCCAAAGGACTTCATCAGTCCGAGGAGCCACATCAAAATGAGTCCCACAAGCAGCACACTCACATAGTGGACCAACCAGTTTGCTGGTGATAGGATGGTTTTTGAAGTCTGTCCTCTCCCCCATTGACTCCTCTAAGGCAGCCATAGCCAAGGTGGTTCAAAACATCAAAGTTCATGCTCAATAATCCAGGTAGAAAATCCAACAAAGTTCAGTCAGGTCATCTGGACGTTACTTCTATTTTGTTGAGACGTTTCATCCTTCATCCTGATTCGTCCCCATGTTTTGTCCATTTACCTGGATTATTGAGCATGAACTTTGATGTTTTGAACCACTTTGGCTATAGCTGCCTCAGAGGAGTTGACGGGGGAGAGGGCGGGCTCCCGAAACCATCTTATCACCAGCAAATTGGTTGGTCCACTATGTGAGTGTGCTGCTTGTGGGACTGAATTTCTTGTGACTCCTTGGACTGATGAAGTCCTTTGGATGAAGGACGAAACGTCTCAACAAAAAAGAAGTAACCGTCCAGATGACATGACTGAACATTGCTGGATTTTTTACCTGGATTATTGAGCATGAACTTTGATGCCACATGTGATTTATTAAAGCCTTGTGTGATATTGATACTCCATACAAAAACGGCCAACAGTGAATTTTAATGAATGTGCCTAAAATCTTAAACTACATGGAGTGTGTTGTGTGTGTCAAGATGACAAGAAAAAGACAGAAGAATAGTTTGGTCGCAACTGATACAGCCGTGGCAATAATCAGCAATAATATCACAACTTCTTGGTTTTCTAGTGTCATTCAGGCCTGCTGGATTTACTGCTGAGACAGTTTTCGATGTTTATGTGTTTGTGTCATCAGGGTGGTCTGCCATCAGGTGTTGGTATGAAAAGAGTTGTGCGAGCCTGGTCATCAGCACCTCATTAATAACGCAGATGCACGGATGATGGATTTTTAGACGTGAGGAAACTGAATCCTGGAGAGCTGGGTGGCTGTCACACTCCGTTTGCGTTGGCCTGAAATGAAGGCTGGTAGAAGTGGCTCTTTCGCTTTCGTTGGAGCGTCACCAAGAGGAAAACCAGCAGTGACTCAACAAACCACCTGAACAGCCAGGTCAATATTTCTCTAGAATCTTAGCAAAACAGAGTAAATGCCTCTGAAGTAACCCAAGAGCTTACTCTGGTTTTAAACGAGATCTACAAAATATAAAAGCTCTTCTGTGTCTTTTGTGTTAACGTGGCTGTCTCAGGTGTTGGTTATATTTTTATGTGTTTCGGGAAGGAAAGTGAGCACAGAATGTAGTCATCTGGTCAGCAGCCAGATTGAGTCAATAGAGCCCCTCGGACTCCTAATTCTCTGCAGTCAGCACAGCATCGGTGGGCCGACCTGCAACTTCTGCTGAATACTAATTGGATTTTCTGCTCAAATCATGCTGGAGAGCCCGTGTGGGGATAGAACCTGCAAAATACAGCGTGGCTGAGTTTCTCGCAAAAGCAAACAAGTTATAAACAAATGTATTTTATATTTATTCTGCTCATATCAGGGTTTTATTTTGTGGATTTCTGTTAAAGAAGTCAGTTCAGATGGTCATTAACTTAATGTGATCATTAGTGAGCGAGAAAGTTTCCAAACCACTTTATTTTGATGTCATTATCAGTACAAGCATCATTGTCTTTTTTTAATAGTTGCTACTAAGATGCAAAGTGAGTCTGTTTTATATTCCTGTGCTGCCTGAGTAGCTTTCTGGATTGATTTCCTCGTACAAATGCACCTTTTTAAAATGAAAATGGCTGCCCCGGATCGGTAACTTTGCCATTCTGTTAAATGGAATGCTAAAAAAATAAATAAATATTGCACTAGCAAAAAAATCTACAATGAAATATTGCTCTAAAATGATTTTGTGCCCTGCTCAGTTTGAGTTGGGCTCCAATGTTTGTAAAACTCCCTCCTAGAAACGAGTCTGATCTCAGGATATTCCTCGTTTATCTTCCTGCCTCTCTCCCCCTACGTTGTTTTTAAAGAAAAATCTAAAAGAAGAAAAATGGAGGCTGAATGCTTAAAAATTCTGAAAGATGATATGGAATGGGAGGGGAAACGAGCTAAAAACAAAAAAAAAACAAGCAGTGATTTTTCATTCTTTCCATATAAATGTTTCCCACAAAATGATTTAATATATTTTTTATTTAAAGTTTCAAATGAAACACTTTATCTTAATTTGACAACTCTGCCATCCCAATTTTGATGGTGGGTTATGTGCAGCCCTTCATGGAATGCTATGTCCTTAATCAGTATCATTATTATTTACATAGAAGTGATCCAATACGGAGTTTAAGTGTTTCTAAGTCTTGTGAGGGTGAGCAGAATCATGCTCATGTTGGAACAATTCTTATTTTGTGCATCTGCTGAGGTGTTTTTGTACAGAGGCAGATATTAATAAAGTAAAGAAGGATGAAGACATTTCGAGCGTTTTCCTTTAACCTGAAACTCACTATCTTTGCTTCTCCCTCCTGAGACTAACAGTTATTTGAGTGGTAGTAAATCCAATCATCTGCTTCTCAGATTACATTGTGTGGTTGGAAAACAAGCTAAAATATTTGTTCTTTTGTGCTGAAGCATCACCACAAAGCACAGATTGGGAAGAGAAGAAGACCCATTTTCACAGACAAGTTGTTTCACTATGTTTTTAGGATTTTCTTTTTAGTTTATTAGTCATAAAGTAGAATTATAAAGGGCAACATAATCATAATAAATAATAGTAGTAGTAATAATAGTAATATTAACAATAATTTAAAAAAGTTTTTTTTTTTTTTTTTTTAGATTTTTCTACCTGGATTATTGAGCATGCATCAGGATATTAACAATAATGTTACATTGTATTTCTGAGCATTTTCTTAACTCTCATTGAAACTTTAAGACAAAAAACTGGCCAAATCTACAAATTTAACAGCCTGCTACAGTTTAAGCAGGCTAATTGTGCGGTTTATGTAGGCCAATGCTGCAGTTTATAGAGGCTAATGCTACATTATATATAAACTGATACAGTTAAAGACTATTTTTGTTTCTCATTTACCCTTTATTTATCCAGGTAGTCTCATTGAGCCACGATAACTCATTTTCAAGAGAGACCTGTTTAGGGAGCAGATGGGGGGTTAAGGGCCTTGCTCAGGGGCCTAGAATGGGGCGAATGAGGGTGGAGGGGGGTGTGGGTGTTCCACCTATTCCACCCACATTTTGATGTTGACGGTACCGGGAGTTGAACCTGCGACTTTCCGATCACAAGCCCATTTTCTAAAGACTAATGCTACAGTTTATGTAGGCAAATATACCGTAGTTAAAACAGGCTAATAATATAGTTTATGTAGCCTAATGCTACAG